ACTATTTCAGTTATTTTTTGTAGAAAATGAAGACAAATATACGTGCTAACTATTCAGAAAAGCCATAAACTCTAAACCTTTAGAAAGGTTAGTGTTATAGAAGGCAACGCAGAAGTGAATGAGCTCAAAACAGTTCCATGTCTTTGGAAATTATAAAGAAATGTAACTAGATGAACTAACATCAACCCACAGGCACTGGATCGGATTCTGCAGACGAACTGTTGCTGCACTGGAGCTCATCGCCTGCATAGTAAACGGAAAATGTGGGTAAGGTGATCGTGCAAATGGATATGACGAGGGATAGGTGTGACCGAAGAACGAATCCGGATCAGGCTTAATCAGGTTACGCGAGTGATCTACCGACACCGGCCCTTGTACTGGTGCGCCAAATAAGCGTTGGTTCTGCATAAAAGGGGCCTCTTGCGGGAAATACATATCCGCGCCGAAGGACGACGTGCGCGCACCGTAACCATTTCCTGAAATACGTAATAATTTCTACTAAATAATGCAAAATAAAACAACTTTCGGAATATGAGCATGCTGATTTTCAATGCACAACGAAATAAAAAAGTCTATAAAAATTAATTTTTTACGGCGGCAAATTCTACAATAAATATCTGAAATTGAAAAATGTTTCTCTTTTCTTTTACTCCTCTCCCTCCCAAAGAAAATGCTTCTCATCAAAAAAATCGTTAGGCGTTTCTTTTTCAATAGACCCCACTGACAGAAAAGGCGGGTAACACTGTTCCAGAAGTTTTTATAAAGCAGCTATGTGAAAAAAAAAAAATCTTGCCATTCTTGACGAAGAGTGGTTGTCCGAATGTGGACGATGATGGTGCGAAACCCTGGTGCTGGTAATAATTTTCGGGATTGTACTCGTTGCTGGGTCCCACGATGCCATCAGGTGCCTTGCCCGCCGAACAATTCGCCAGCGGAATAGACCTGCAAAAAATGCAGCAGTCTTTTCAGTCGGGAGCTGCGTGCTGGAAACTTTTAATTCTTTAAGCTTCTGCTGCGCAAATCCCATGACTGCTGATGATTACGGTAGGCGGTGACAGCGTGCCCAGCGTGAAACACACGCTACTCAATCAGTGCGGAACAAATCATACCCGGTCGCAACGGTAGGT